ACGTGCTTCCTTCTGTTGTCAGACTTAGTTGGTTTGTGCTGGGTTAAAATTAGATCACTAGATTCAGGAGAATCCTGGAGACGACTTCTGAGCTTTTGACGAGTGAACGCAGGAGGCGACGAATGGCATAACCAGATTAAGAAGCAAAAACGGAATTATTCAATCGCTGCTCTAGGAAAACACCCTCGTTCGAGATGATGTAGAAGCTTGCGCTCTGTATAGAAACCCGTACTAGTCATCTGTAAGATTTGCTGTAAGATCCGTGGTTCACGGACACCCGTAATCGCCGTTCTGAAATGGAAGTCCTACCGCCAGAAGTTCTTTACAGAATCATCTATGCGACGAAAATGCCTGCAAGAGCAATCGCAGGTCTGGCCTGCACCAGTCGCAGCCTTGATCGCCTGTGCCTGAGAGAGCTATGGCCCCGTTATTGTCACGAAAGACTGCTTATGTCGGATTTCTGGGAGGGCCTTACAATGTGTACAAGAGATGGTTTGATCCGTCGGTCTCGCGATGATTTTGGGCTATTGACCCCAAAACTTCTGAGTTACTGCCCGGGATTCGTAGACATTCCTTGCCACTTTCTCGACTTGGGGGTTGGCGAAATTCTGGATGAAGTGGTTAGATTATACGATCACGCTGTTATACTCAGCCCCGAAATAAGATCAGACAGAGGAGGGACGGAACGCTCTCCTCGGGCGGGAATCGTGGCCTTACCATGGAAAGACACGTGGCGAATCCAATGCGAGAACGTGGTGAGTGGCCTGATGAGAATCTTATCTCCACGATGCGGCTCGGGTCTGGATTGTGACGAATCGTTTTTAATAACGTGTACGAGAGTACCGAGATCCGCTAGTACCGATAGTGCAATTAGTAATACCACTAATACTACGGGTACCGCAATCCTTGGTAATGGAGCGACCACTAATCATAGCTCTAGTGCTAATACAGTAATTGAGAGAAGACCGCGAGATTTCCGGCGGCACTGCAAGCGAATGGGCGTCACCTGCCACGTGGACGAGCAATCCTCGTTCTCCCGATCGGCGCTGCTGAAAATAATTCCGCTGGTCGACCCGGACAGTGCGTCGTTCGTAGTCGCGGAGAGGCGAAGCCACTTCCACCTCACGTTCATGGTGCTGCGCGGATTCATCGCTGATTTCCGCTCATCAGAGTACGTTCAAAAAAGAAAAAAAAAAAAGAAAGAAGAAGAAGAAGAAAAAAAAGGTATGCACGTTCGTTGCAATCACGTTCAGTTTCAACATGCACGTACGTACCCGTCGTTCCGGTCGCGGAGAGGCGAAGCCATTGCCACTACAAGTTCATGGTGCCTCTCCGCAGGTAGACGCTCCTTATCAATATCCGATCGCCCAGGTAGTTTGCAGCAGATAGACGCTCTCATCCTGCAGGCGCAAATCGTTACAGGCGGTTTAGTTTTTGCTAGTTTCTGGTTGACTTTTGAGGCGCCTCAAAAGCAGATAGACGCTCTCATCCTGCAGACACGAATCGTTACAGGCGGTTTCGCTGGTTCCTGGTTGAGAAGGGCGAGGCCCTGCTCCCCAATCCCCTTCTCGCTTCTCTCTCTCCTTCCCAGACACTCATCCGCCCCATCTTGCTCCTGCCCCATGCCCCCCATGCTCCATGCCCCATGCCCCCCATGCTCCATGCTCCATGACCCATGCCGCCCATGCTCCATGCCCCATGCCCCCCATGCTCCATGCCCCATGCCCCCCATGCTCCATGCCTCATGCCCCCCATGCTCCATGCCCCATGCCGCCCATGCTCCATGCGCCATGCGCCATGCTCCATGCTCCTGCCCCATGCCGCCCTTTCTCCATGCTCCGCTGCCCCACCTGCTTCCCCTGCCCCATGCCCCCCTTGCTCCATGCTTCCCTGCCCCGCCTGCCCCTCTTGCCCTCCTGCCCTCCTGCCCTCCCGCCCTCCTGCCCTCCTGCCCTGCCGCCCTCCTGCCCTCCTGCCCTGCCGCCCTCCTGCCCTCCTGCCCTGCCGCCCTCCTGCCCTCCTGCCCTTCCGCCCTCCTGCCCTCCTGCCCTCCTGCCCACCTACCCCTCTTGCCTTCCCCCTACTGCCAAAGTTCCTATACCCTGTGCTCCCTTTGCTCGAATGTATCCCATGTTCCCCTCGTCCAATCAGGGTTTTTGAGAATTCAGGGAGTTTTTGAGAATTCAGGGAGTTTTTTAGAATTCAGGGAGTTTTTGAGAATTCAGGGAGTTTTTTAGAATTCTCAAAAACTCCCTTTGCTCGAATGTATCCCACGTTCCCCTCGTCCAAATGCCTAACGCACTGTGCTCCCCTGCCACTCCTGACCCCCCATTTACTTGCCCTCCTGCCTATGCCCCCCATTCCCCTGTCCCCCAGCCGACAAGCCTCTCATAACAGTGTGCTTTCAGCGTTGGGAAACAGCTTAAAGAGTCTCTGTTCTCTGAGCACCCCCAAATGCCTTCCTCGCATGTTACATGCCTCTTTCCCCCCTCCCAGCATGTTCCCCCCCCCCCCCCGCCCCCTGCCAACATGCCTCTGGGCATCTGCGTGCATTCCCTGTTGAATCCCAACAGCTCAGAGCCTCTGGAAGGCTTTTGAGGCGCCTCAAAAGTCATTCCCTGTTGAATCCCAACAGCTCAGAGCCTCTGGAAGGAGAAATCTTTCCTGTTGGAAAGCAGCTCAGAGCCCCTGTTTCTCAAAAGCCCTCCTCAATGTCCCATGGTCCCCTGTTTCCCCTGCCAACATCTCCCCTCTCTACCCCCCTGCTAACATGCCCCCGGACATCAGTGTGCGTTCCCTGTGGGAAAACAACTCAGAGCCTCTGGAGGGAAATATCTGCCGCTAGTCGGCTCAAGAACCATCCTCAAATGCCTATGGCCCCCTTGCTTCCCTTCCAACATGTCCAAATCCCCCCCTGCCAATATCCTCCCGGACAGCAGTGTGCGTTCCTTGATGGAAAACAACTCAGAGTCTCTGAAAGGCGATATCTGCCCCTTCTGCCCTCCTATTAACATGCCCCCTGACATTAGCGTGCGTTCCCTGTTGGAAACAGCTCGGAACCTCTGGAGGGCGATATCTGCCCCTTCTGAATGCCCCATGCCCTCCGGTTCCCCCACCTGCCAACATGCACCCCTCTCTACCTCCCTCCCTGTAAACATGCTCCCAAACATCAGTGTGCGTTCAGTGCTGGAAAACAGCTCGGAACCTCTGGAGGGCGATATCTGCCCGTTCTGCCCGGCCCAGGTATCTACAGTAACCAATGCCTGTTAAAAAAACGTTGCGTTATGAAAGCTACACTGCCGAACTCATAATGAGCATTTATGACCCCTAAAGCAGTCTATCCAAAGCGCACTGTTGAGAATCTCTTGACGTACGGGCCCTTACCCAACCCTGTTTCCCCATCTTCCCCTTTTTTCCTCCTTCCCCCTTATCTCTTCCCCATGCATGGCTTACAGATATGGGATGCTCAGCCTGTGCTGGATAGTAATGTATGCGATACACTGGAGTGTATTCTTGCCAGAGTTACAATTTGTCATAATGTGAGTCTAAATGGTGCTGACAATTCATTTATGCAGAATCATTACCCAGTTTAGCAGAGCGATAGCATCTAATTGAACCGGATATCAGGACAGCCCTTTAAATACACCGCCCATTCAAAGTCTCTTCTCCATTTCTCTCTCTCACTTGCTGTCCTGTGCCTTCCGTGCATTGATTGGCTACAGGGACACATCTTTGGGCTCTATCGCCGATGAAGTCCTATCCCACCATTTCTTATCAAAAACCTGTGGATTAGGGACAACATCAGAAATGCTGTCAGAAAATCAGGTCAGTGAAGAGCCTATCAGTTGTGAAGATATTTGTTCATCAAATTCAAATTCAGTACAGCCGTGATGGGTCATCTGGAGCGTTTAGTAACGTTTTCATTCACACCCAGCACGTTTGGTACGTGAATCCGTCATCCTGTACGTTACAATCGTGTTATACTGGTTTGCTTCAAAAGCCCAACCCGAGTCCCGTTACAGTCATGCTGGATGTCCCTCTGTAATAATAGAATACCTACAACCTGTGGCATGTACGGTACAACGTTGTTATACCATGCATCCAAATGCTTTTCTCACTGCCTCACTCTCGTTCCCCCTCATCTGCTGTGCAGCATGACGGAAGCAGCTAAGCTGTCATGATGGCAGCACTGGGAACTTAGGCTGTCCCTGGTGGTACCTATCACAACCTCGCACCATCCAAAGGGCTTCTCACTGCCTCGTCTTCATTCCCTCTCATCTGCTGTGCAGCACGACAGCAGCACTACACAACCTCGGCTGCCCTTGGCAGTATAACTTCATCTTCACTGCCCCTGGCATCTCACTGCCCCTGGCACCTCACTGCCCCTGGCATCTCACTGCCCCTGGCATCTCACTGCCCCTGGCACCTCACTGCCCCTGGCACCTCACTGCCCCTGGCACCTCACTGCCCCTGGCACCTCAGCTCACTGCCTCGTTTTCATCGCCTCTCATCTGCTGTGCAGCTTTACACCACCTCATGTGTCCTTAGCAGGTCTCTGCTTCTTCTTGGAATGCAAACTCAGGAAGCTGAGCTGAAGCCACGTGTATGAAGTGTTTTGAGACGTCTCAAAACACCACCTCAGGTGTCTGTAGCAGGTCTCTGCTTCTTCTTGGAATGCAAACTCAGGAAGCTGAGCTGAAGCCTTGGAAAGCCTTCAAGGTTTGGCACTGGTCGATTAACTTGTTTATTCATTGCTGTAGTGTGGTTGAAGGGGTTCTGGCAGATTAAAGGTTGGCGGGTCAGGACAATTGATTAGAAAGGCTTGTGTTTTCCAGTGACAAATACTAGGGTTAAATTGATGTAAAAGAACAAGCAAACTACAGTTTAACATCTCACAGAATACAGCACAAAAAGGAAGGGATAGAACAGGCATAAACCGACTCAAATACAAGCAGAAATCCACCAGAAAAAAGTACTGGTATATCCCTTCTCACAACCATCTAGAGCCCCCCTAGGAACCACCCCACCAGCTCCCTCCCATATCCACCCCATCCCCCCTTACAATCACAGTCACGCCAAGCCTTCACTTTCTCCATCTCCCTCTCTAAACAATCCAACCTCTCCTCAATTCCACCAGATCCCCCAGCAGTCCTTGTTGCATGTTTCTGATGCTTCTGCTGCTGCTGCCGCTGCTGCTGCTGCTGCCCCTGCTCGGACAGTAGCCGGCGCAGGTGTGCATTCTCCTGCCTCAGAGCCTCCATTTGCCAGGCGATTTCCTCAGGTGAAAACTCAGATACGCCAGGTGCACCCCCCTTGGGCTGAGATGCCATGTGACTATAACGCGAGGGCTGGAAAGAGGAGTGACTGAATGGGGCAGCAGGGGATGTCTCAAGGGGGGTTGCTGGGGGAAGGTGGAGGTAGAGAGGAGTGGAGATGGGTGCACGAGAACTGTGGGGGTATGGGGTGTGGTGGAGAGGGGTTTTAAGGGGTGGCAGATGCGGCAGATATTGGAGGAAGATAGGTGAATCACTGAAGTCCGCTCCAAATCCCCCTTTCTTGGCATCCGCCTCCTCTCTCCCCCTCCCCTCTTCGCTCTCCTTCCCCTTGCCTCCCTTAAAAACGCCCTCATCAACCTGATTCCTCCCATCTGCAATTTTCTCCTTCGTCTGAACCCTCTCCTCCTTCCTCTCCTCCTTTTTCCCCTCCTTAACCTTCTCTTCCCTCTCCTCCTTCCTCTCCTCCTTTTTCCCCTCCTTAACCTTCTCTTCCCTCTCCTCCTTCCTCTCCTCCTTTTTCCCCTCCTTAACCTTCTCTTCCCTCTCCTCCTTCCTCTCCTCCTTTTTCCCCTCCTTAACCTTCTCTTCCCTCTCCTCCTTCCTCTCCTCGACTTTCTTCACCCCACCCTCTTTCCCACTGCTCCCCTTCTCCTCCTTGACACCAACCACCCCTGAACCATGAACATTACGCTCTCCCTCCTTACCACTCAAGCCTGCTGACCTGCCTGCCCCGCCTGCCCTGCCTGACCCATCTGGCCCGCCTGCCCTGCCTGACCCATCTGGCCCGCCTGCCCTGCCTGACCCATCTGGCCCGCCTGCCCTGCCTGACCCATCTGGCCCGCCTGCCCTGCCTGACCCATCTGACCTCCCTACCCCATCATCCCTGCTGCCCCCTCCACTGCTGCAGAACACAACTCGCACCTCCTCAGGCCCCTCGCTCCCACGCCCACAGAACTGCACATCAACCTTCTGCACGTCCCCAGCAGTGACTTTCTGCTCCCCGCCTTTCCCATCCAATCTCTCACCACCACCACTGCTGCTGCTGCTGCTGCTGCTGCTGCTGTTCCCACCGTTGCTGCAGCCACTGTTGCTGCTGCTGCCACCACTGCTGCTGCTTCTCCTATCCTTGTCATCATCGCTGCTCCTGCCACGTTCACAGTTGCCCGCGGGGCTGATTGTCCTCTCAGCATCTGCTCTCTTCTTCGCTTTCTTGGTCGGTTCACCAAGCAGAAAGCCTTTCTTGAAAGGAAGCGACGCACCCGGCTTGCTCTGTGGCTTGCCTCCTGTTTTAGCAGGCGGATTGGCAGCTGCTGCCGTCTTAGCGGCTGGCAATTCCTTCCCATTGTCTTCCTCGGCAAGAATTTGTTGCTTCTGCTGCTGCTGCTGCTGCTGCTGCTGCTGCTGCAACGATGACTGGTCCTTCTCCTGCTGCTGCTTCTTCTGTGGCGGCTGCTCTGGTGCAGCAGCAGGGACTGGAACGGTGTAGGACTGGGAAGACGTGGAGGTGGGTGGGGTAGGTTCAGCAGCTTTTCCCACACCAGGTTCGGCAGGCACAGAAACAAGTTCGGCAGCCATAGCAGTGGGCTTCAAAGAATCTACCCGATCCTGCAGCTTTGTCAGCTCCCGAACCACTCCCCGGCGCAGCTCCCGGACCTCCTGGTTCGGCGAGAGCAGCGCATCCAACCGGAGCAACCAGCTCATGATCGTCTCACTCACCCGAAGCTTCTCCTTTGGTTCGGAGGCCACCTTGGCCGCATACCCCTCCTCACCGAGCCTCTCTGCCATCTCCCGAGCCAGCCGCCGAACCTCGGCTATGGTCCGAGCCGCTTCGAGAGGCTTGGTGAGGCGGAGGGAGCGGCCTCTCCATGCGGATTGGATGCGGGTGGCTGCGACTGTTGCTGTGGTTGGGTCGTCCAGTTGCCTCGGCAGCTCAGGAGGCTCGGTGTTGGTGGTTCGGATGGTAGCAGCTGCTTCGGGTACAGGTGCTTTGGTTACAGGTGCTTCCGGTGCAGATGGTTCAGATACAGGTGGTTCGGCCTCAGGTGCCTCAGGTGCCGCAGGTACTGCCTCAGGTGCCACAGGTACCGCCTCAGGTGCTTTAGGCGCCACCTCAGGTGCCGTCTCAGGTCCAGGTGCAGCCACAGGTGCAACAGGTGCCGCAGAAACAGCCTCAGGTTCCGCATAAACAGCCTCAGGTGCTACTGGTGTAACCTCAGGTACCGTCTCAGGTACTACAGGAATTGCCTCAGGTGCCGCAGAATCCGCCTCAGGTGCCACAGTAACTGCCTCAGGTGCCACAGTAACTGCCTCAGGTGCTGCAGTAACTGCCTCAGGTGCTGCAGTAACTGCCTCAGGTGCCGCGGAAACTGCCTCAGGTGCCGCGGAAACTGCCTCAGGTGCCGCGGAAACTGCCTCAGGTGCCGCGGAAACTGCCTCAGGTGCCGCGGGTGCCACCTCAGTTGTCGTCTCAGGTGATGTAGTCACCACCTCAGGTGCCACCGGTGTCACCTCAGGGGCTGCTGGTGTATCCTCAGGTGCCGTAGCAGGTGCCGCAGAAACTGCCTCAGTTGCTGCAGAAATTGCCTCAGGTGCCACAGAAACCGCCTCAGGAGCCGCAGCCACTGGTGCCACCTCAGGTGCCACCTCAGGTGTTGCCTCAGGTGCTGCAGTCGCCACCTCAGGTGTCATTGTTGCTGACTCAGGTGCTGCAGAAACTTCCTCAGGAGCCACAGGTGCCACCTCTGGTGCTGTCTCAGGTGCTGCAGCAGCTGCTTCAGATGCTGCCTCAGGTGCTGCAGAAACTGCTTCAGCTGCAGCTGCTGTCCCCTCTACTGCTGCTCCTGTTCCTGCTGCTGTTGTTGGTGCTGATGCCACAGAAACTGCCTCAGCTGCTGCAGCAGCTGCTGCTGATGTCGGTGCTTCTGCTGCTCCTGCTCCTTCTGCTGATGCTGATTCCACAGAAATTGCCTCAGGTGTCACAGCAGGTGACTCAAGCGCAGCAGAAACCGCTTCTGGTGCCACAGGAACCGCTTCAGGTGCTACAACCCCATGTGAGGATGCATTACCCGAAGGCAGGGGGAACTCTGCAGAAATTTCCGTTGGAGCAGGCAATGCTGCATATGCGCTGGACCCAGGCTCGGCACCCCACGCACCTGGATACGCGCCCAGGTTCGGACCGAGGCTCCAAGTTACGCTCGGCGTATCACTGGACGCTGCGGCGGGACGAGGCGGAAAGAACTGAACTGCAGCATTGGGTTGCGCAGGATAGAACTGAGGAAGCCAATAACGAGGATAATTAGGCCCAGAGCCAAGCGCAGGGAGCTTATCTGAATAAGCAGGCAGCCAAGGCGATAGGCTAAACCAAGGCGCCTGGTTGACCCAAGGCCCCTGCCCGAACCAAGGCTCCTGTCCGAACCAGAAAGTCGGTGCATAAGCATCATCACCAGCCGGACCAGCTGCAATGTTTCCCAATGCGCCCTGCGAATTCCCGCCAAAACCGTTCACGAAACCTGGGAGGGCCCTGGGATCCGCGTAAGGATACGGGAGCATGAGCGGGTAAGCAGCGGCTGAGCTCCTGTTACCACCTCCGTTTGCCGCTGTAACACCAACCATCTCCGTTTGGCTCTTTCCAGGCATCGCACCACCACCCACTGCTGCTGCTGCTGCTGCTGCCTCTTCAACTCCTGTTCCTTTCTCATCCGCTCCAAGGGGCTTCAGAACCGACTCATTTTCCAAAACCTTCTTCGTATCTCCCGTCGTCCCAGTGCCCTCACCTAATTTTTCCTCCACCTCCTCCTCCTCTTCGTTCGCGGAAGCTTCGCCAGAAGCTGCCTTTTTCGGAGATCCCACCTCCACCAGCTCCAACCTCGCAGCTCGCGCCGCCTGCCCGCCTGCTTGCGTCACCTCCGCGGCGTTTCCCGGCACCGCTGACGTCATCACGGCCGGATGGAACCAGGGCGCGTACGGAGCGTAGGGGGACATGTAGGGTGGAGCGAAGGGGCTTTGATGGGGGAGGTGAGGATGGGGAAAGTGAGTCGGGCTAAAAAAGGTGGGAACTGCACCGGGAGTGCCTGGTGTGGCAGTATGATTCACGCCAGCACCAGCAGAAGCAGCGGCAGCAGACGCAGCGGCAGCAGAAGCAGCGGCAGGAGCAGCAGCAGAAGCAGCAGGAGAAGCAGAAGCAGGAGCGGAAGCAGGAGTGATACCCGACTCCTCCGCGTCAGCAGCAGCCTTGGCCTTGCTGCTTGGAAACGCAGTGCCGTAAGCGCCGGGATACGCGGCCATGGGAGAGACGGGAGGCATGAACCAACCGCCGGGACCAGCGGGGAACGGGAAACTTCCAGGCATCATGGCAGGCGGACGCTCTGGAAACTTCGTCGGCGGAAGAGTAAACTGTGACGGACGGAAGGATGGAAATCGAGGAGACGGAGGAGGAGGCGGAGGAGGGGGGGAACCGACGGCGGGTCCCGTCTTGGGGTTACTTTCTAATGATGACCCCTTTTCGCCTCCCAGGTGACTTTTCAGTCGAGTTAGGAACGGAGGAGGAGGAACGACGGTGGCTCCTCCTGTCGTGGAGTGATGCTGAGATGATGACATCTGCTCGCCGCCGCCGCGTCCCATTGAAGTGAGTTCGTCCCGGACCGTTCCCAACCACGCTCAGCCGTGTAACCAGGATTTTTTTCGCTCGAATCGCCTCGATTGACCGGAGAGCCGAAAGCACGCGGTGATGTGCTGATATGCTTGACGCGCGGAAACCGGTCGCCTTAGTGGTGACTCTGTGCTGATACTGCTGGTAGTAGTCGAAATGAGCAAGTCTTGATATGTTGCTTCGGCCTAAGACTGATTCAGCCTGGATCAATGCGGAAGCTCGTAAAAGTCTTGCGGCAAAAGCACAGGAATATGGTGGAATCGAAAGCGTTTGGAAGTGAATTCATCGTGGAATGCGACGGATAAATATAAACAAACGAGGACGCAGCGCGCCGTGGGAAACGCCTCGTAAGTTGATCCATGGGGTTCGGGAATGGCCTAGAAGAACAGGCAAGGATACAGACAAGTGAAGCTTGCGCGGATACAGCAGACCAGAACAAAGTACAGGCCACTAGAATCTCTAGAAGCTTGCAGACTGGCAAACCAGCTGTAGAAAGGTGACAGCGAAGGCATAGAGAGGTGAGTTACACGAAGTCAGTGCGATGCGAATGGTGGGATGGGAAGGATCTAGATTCTTCAGTGGGATGAGAAACCATGTTAATAAAAACCCTCTGCAAATACGTAACCGCGTAGCGCAGTGGATTAGCGCGTTCGACTTCGGATCGAAAGGTCGCGGGTTCGACTCCCGTCGTGGTTGCTTTTGCTCTTGGAACGTGGATTAGGGCGTGTCACCTCGGGGCTGGGAGGCCCAAATCCGAATATGCATAACGAATTCACTGTACGAACAGTGTCCGAACAAAAATTTGAGCACTCTGTTGAATGTGACAGCTCGTCACCAGAGGTGACACCCTCTCTTTTCGAACACGCAGCCTGTTCGAACATGCGACGTCGCCCATAGTAGGGCGACGTCGCCCATAGTAGGGCGACGTCGTTAAGCGTCGCAAGAAGATCTGGTGAGAAGCGATTTTGCTAGCGACTATGCGGGGTGCTGTCCAATCAGAGGCGTCGTCCGTGCTGAGAGGGGGGCTCCTATCATTCTGTGCTCGAACAGCGCTGTTCGAACGTGCAATACATTTGGCAGCATGCCTGATGTGACAGCGCTGTTCGAACGTGCAACACATTTGGCAGCATGCCTGATGTGACAGCGCTGTTCGAACGTGCAACACATTTGGCAGCATGCCTGATGTGACAGCGCTGTTCGAACGTGCAACACATTTGGCAGCATGCCTGATGTGACAGCGCTGTTCGAACGTGCAACACATTTGGCAGCATGCCTGATGTGACAGCGCTGTTCGAACGTGCAACACATTTGGCAGCATGCCTGATGTGACAGCGCTGTTCGAACGTGCAACACATTTGGCAGCATGCCTGATGTGACAGCGCTGTTCGAACGTGCAACACATTTGGCAGCATGCCTGATGTGACAGCGCTGTTCGAATTGGCGAAACTTCTGGTTCGCGACGTCGTTAGGGGCTTACGAATCCTGGCGAAGCATGTAACATTTCGCCTGTTCGAACGAGACGCCTGTTCGAACCTGGAGGTGACACGCCCTTATTCCCTTCAAGGCTTCCACGTGGAAGACTCAGAGGGTGTCTCAGATGTCTGAGTCCACGTGGGTACGGCTCGGACCTGACGGACCAGCTCAAGAAAAAGCGCGTGAACCAGGGCGGACCGGGACCAGGATGTGGGGCTTGTAACCCCGTTATACCGTTCGAATGGCACTAAAACGGTGCCATTTATTTGGCCCTCCAGACCAGTCCGCGCCTGGTCCGTAAACAGTGGGTGGGGAAACATTTGTTTTGGCGAAATTTCTTGTTTTGTAAGTTTCGCGTGAGATTTTTGTGCAGACGAAGAAAATGGGTAACTCAATTTCAACTTCGTCGCTACTGCTGCATCTCGCAAATACTGTGCAGCCCGAAGCGCGACGCATCAGGCAGACCAGTCCGTGTCTGGTCCAGCGCTGGTCCGCCAAGTGGGTCCGTCGGACCAGAACCCCGGACCAGGCCTATAGATTCCGGTCACGGACCAGATCCAGCGGACCCTCCACATGAGACACGTCCTCACTTGCTTATCCATGCTCATCACAACACAATTCAATACAAGTGCGTGATGAGTGGAACTCTTTCGGACAATAAACCAAGCTCAGGGCAGTTGTGGCTTTTTGTCCCAGCATCCTGCAGCACGCTATTGGGGAACTAGGGTAAGAAGACCCTTCTTCGGAAAATTAGTTTGCTACTATAAAGCCTTCAGAAAATTCAACAAGAATACAAGCAGCCCAACAAGATTAGGGCCTCGCAAGAATATGGAACAAATTTGCGAAGCTTGAACGGAAAGGATAGGAAGACAGCCTTGTTCGCTGCTTATAACAGAACTAATACATGTACTGCTCTTTACAATGATGTTTACATATTTTTTTGTCAGTGGTTCATGGCTTGTACCTTGGGAGCAACGACAGCCACCCTATCAGCAGCCGCAGACCCCGACACGGGAGGGAAACATCTCCTGATCTCCCTAGCTTCCTGGCAAAGAGCACATCTGTGGCAAAAGAAATGCAGCATGCAGTCACAGGTCCGATGGCAACCCTCTGTAGGATCGCTTGTGATGTCTTCAGCTCCACTCTGAAAAACACCCGAAGCAGCAAGGACGGAGAAAGAAAATGAGGAAAACGAAGCAGCTGCAGAAAAATGGCCGAGGCAGCTGCTCTGGGAGTGACATCATGATAAAGCGATATCGATCAGGAGCGTTTAAAAAATATTAATAAGGACGAACCTGGAGACGGAGTTGCGAGCGTATGGCGGATCGGCTGGGCCACGACGAGATTGGAGCGAGCGCGTTGCAGTGCAGCAAACACTTCCCAAGAAAGAACAAGGCGGTGTAACGCATGCAGCTGTCGTAAAATTCATTCGAATCGCCGGTAAGGCGTGTCATATTGCTTCCGTAAAGCACGCACGGTGCGAACATGCCAAGGCAACCTGACGAAATAGACACACCACGCAGAGTAGGAATACATGATGAACGTGAGTACGAGGAGAAAAAATGACGCTTCATAAATTGAAAAGAAATTGCTGAACAAAGAAAGATTAGATCTGGTAAAGGCGTTCCTTGCCGACGGACTCACAAATTTCGCAATCGGAGCTCGTGTGCTCATCCGAGCCTGGAACGCAGGAGAAGATCCCTGTGCTCCACTCTCTCATTGGCTCCGAAACCTCGCTCGCTTCATTTTGAGAAAGAATCGGCAGTTTCTCAGAGGCAGGAGCTGCAGCCACAGAAACGGCATCTTTTTTCCCAGGTTCCTTCTCTCCAACGTAGTAGCAGCTATCACCCTCAAGAAGAGGAGACGCAGCAGTCGCCGCCATCGGTGGTATCAAAGATATTATCGAGTTTCTTCCTTGAAGCAAGACACAGAATACAGTAAGAACAAGCAGATGCTGCGATCACAAAAATACTACTCGAATCTACAGAACAGAATGAATGACAACGAACTCGAACTGAAAGCTCTTGCTTGTGAGCGAATATATAGAGACCCGCACTGCTGCAGACAACGAAGGACCTTCCTCCTTCCTGCTCGTATTCACAACACAGCCTAGCAGATGCCGTGTGCGATACGTTCCTATTTGGCAGTAGGGAAATATGTTGACTGGAAAAAGCCGCGCAAACGGAAAATCTACGTAGAACTGTCGCCTTGTGTGCGAAAATGTGCGCGTTGACGGACTGTGTTGACGGGAAAAATAACGGGAGGGGACAACACGAATGCCGTCATCCTGGCAAAGCAGGTGCAGGGAAGGCAGGCCAGTGAATATTCAAGCGCGACCATCACCTCGCCACCGACCGACTTGCCTCCTTTGACAGCAATCTACACTGAAGCTCTAGTGTGGATCTGTTACAGGGGGTTTTACTGTTCACTTTGCACATTAACTCCCAACCCCATCCTTATCCTTATCTTCTTGGATTTCCTAGTGCCACGTGGCACTCTACTTTTCTTGCTTCAACTTTCTAGTCCCACGAAGTACTTTCCGACATTCGACCTTGCATGCTATATCATCCTTGCTTGTATCCACCAATATCAACCAATTCGCATTCAACTCTTCTTCAATTACTCAGTAACTTCCTCGCCTATTTCGCCAATAGTTCTTTCGCCAAAGTCTTCCGCCGCATTTCATCCTCGACTTAGTCGACCCCGCTAATTCTTTAGCGGACTTAGGCCGTCGGGCCTAACACTTGGTATCAGAGCCTTCGCGGGGAGCGACTTCCAACGAGCGACCGTCGACGACGAGACTACGACGTCATCGTCCCGCGGTGCCGACTTGCAGACTTGGAGTCGTCGAGCGAACATGGACGAAACCATGCACGCTCTCCCCCACGACATGGGCAACACGCTTGCTGAACTCATGCGCCAACTTCAAATGCAACAACTTCGTGAATTGGCTTCTAACCCCCATGGTCATGCCGCACCAACTCTTGCGCCCAACACGTCGACTGGCGCGGAAGCGCTGACGGAACGTCGAAGCGCGCTCAAGCCGCAGAAACCCGAGTCGTTCGACCCAAGTCGACGCGAACGTGCGGACGTGGCTCTTCATGCTGAACAACTACTTCGCCGCGAGCGGGGTGCAAGAGGCGGACGCGCAGCAGCGGATCGAGTACGCTGTTACGCTGCTGAGGGGCCCGGCCTTGGAGTGGTGGCGCCAACTTACGCAGACTGCTGTTAGAAAAGCTCAGACGGACGGGCATCAACAGGGCGTGGGGCATGCAGCTGCAACTTCAAGCTTAGGTAGTCTAGCTTTGGGTGTTACCACGGTTCCGACCACATGGGAAGGATTTGAAGCGGCGCTGAAAAGTAGGTTCGATTTGGTGAACGCCTCCGAAGCTGCTAGGAAGCGTCTGCGTCATTTCCGTCAGATAGGAAACGTCCAGGAGTACACACGACGGTTCTTGAGCATCTGCAACGAGATAGACGATATCACGGAAGCAGAGATGCGCGATCGCTACCTCGAGCGGTTGAAGCCGAACATAGCAGAAGTTATAGCGATTCATGGGTTGTCCACCTTCGAGTCAGTTGTCGCAGCAGCAAAACGCGTCGACGCAGTACGAAGCCGACGAGGTCGTGACGATCGCGATAGGGGATACAACAGACCGATCAACGACGCTCGATCGAGGGACGGACCATCACCCATGGAGATTGGTGCAGTTAACAGTGACGGCTTACAGAAAACGGGATTTAGGGGGAACTGTGTGAAGAAATGAGGAATGAATGCACTGGCAAACAGGTGGGTACAAGTAGGAAAACCTAAAAGTGTTGTACCCCATATTGTCTACCCCACTACAGCCTATACAGACTATAGCATATAAGTTTGACACACCCCCATAGGCAAAGTGGGGGAGAACAAGAGGTCACAAGACCAGTCAAGCAAAGCAAAGCAAGCTCAGGGTGGATCACAACGTCACCACACATTCCGAGCACAAGTTCAAGGCCACAAGGCCAGTTCACATGCAAGATCATATATAAAGGTAAACAAGCAAGTGCAGGTATAACTAGATCACAGTACAAGCAAGGTCAAGAAGTGAGCAAGTGAGGCCAAGTAGGCACAAGACCTAGCATCGTACAGAAGCGCTGATGATCACCAGGCGGAAGTGCCTTGGTAAAGATATCAGCAGTGTTGGCCTCAGAGGCCACGTAAGCAAGGCGCAGCTGACCACGCTGCTGCAGCTCACGAGCAAGGAAGTAGCGAAGAGCAATGTGCTTCGTTCTGTGCTCCAGTCTGTGCTCCCGACACAAGGCCAGCATGGCATTGTTGTCTACGTACAGAACTGGAGGAGAACGAGGCGGCTCTCCTAGGTCAGTCAGCAGGTAGGTGAGCCAGCGTAGCACCTGTGCAGCCATGGCCCCAGCGTAGATCTCAGCCTCACAGCTGGAGCCGAGAACAGAAGACGAGCGGGTAGACCGCCACGAAACAGAGCCGGAACCAAGGCTGAAGGTGTAACCCTGTGACGACCGCTGCGTAGCCTGGTCTTCAGCCCAAGAAGCGTCTGCGTGACCTGTGAGGACCACTGGACGTCGCCCTCCAAGCACTAGCCCCATGCCCGACGTACTGCACAAGTAGCGCAACACCCTCTTCGCTGCAGCCATGTGCTCTGGTCGGTGTCTCCCAGGAGCAACATAGCGTGCCAAGATGCTAAGAGGGTATGCAACGTCAGGTCGTGTGCAGGTCATCAGGTACATGAGGCAGCCAACAAGCTCTGGGTACGGGCCACTCGGCTCTACGGACTCATCCGAAGGCAGAGCTGAGAGCGAGTGGCGAGTAGACAGAGGAGTGGCCTGAGGCGAGGAGTACGTGAAGTCGAAGCGCTGAAGGACCTGCTGCACCATGTGTGACTTAGTCAGGGTAATGGTGCGCTGTGCTCTGTCCCGGGTGATCTGCAAGCTAAGGTAGCTGCGCAGTTCACCCAGGTCTGTGCACGTGTGTCTCTTCTGCAGCTCGGACTTCACGTGGGCGAGTCCAGCAGTGTCAGCAGTGGCAAAGACCAAGTCGACGACGTACACGAGGATGTAGAACGGCGGCAAAGATGTGTCGGTGCGCAGAAACAGCGACGGGTCAGCAGTAGAAGGAGCAAACCCAAGAGCCGCAAGTGTAGTCCTCAGTGTGTCGTGCCACTCACGGGGCGCCTGGCGGAGACCGTAGACTGGCCGCCGGAGGCTCCACTGGGTACCAGGGGGAAACGACCAAGTGAAGCCAGGTGGGCGGCGCAGCCAGATCTCCTCGTGCAGGCTGCCCTGCAGGAAAGCTGTGCTGAAGTCAAGAGAGTGAAGCTCGTAGTCGCGCTGAGCGGCTATGTGCAGCAGCACGCGAAGAGTGGTCATCTTCGGGGTGGGAGAGAAGGTCTGAAAGTAGTCAACTCCCTGCCGCTGACTGAAGCCTCGAGCCACGTAACGCGCCTTGAAGACAGGCGGAGAACCCGGCGGCCGCTTCACCCTGAAAATCCACATGCCACTGACGATGTTCGCCCTAGGTGGGGGAACCTCGTCGACGTAGGTGCCTGTGGACTTCCAGGAAGCCATCTCTGCGTCCATGGCTGACTGCCACTGTGAGGAGTAGGGACCCTCGATCGCCTCAGCGTACGATCGAGGAGTCGGGATGTCTGGTGCATCCGGGTCTCCCTCAGGGGCAATCAGCGTGGACACGAGATGAGGCAAAGCAGCAGCAAAACACTGGAACTCCTCTTGCCTGTCCTCAAGGACGTCCGTGCTAAGAGCACACTCACCCCCGACGGACGGAGGACAGACAGACTCAGACTCAGCAACAAGACTAGCAGCGTAGTCAAGACGACAGCGAGCAGCAAAGTCGACAAGCTCAGCAACTAAGGCAGACGCAGCAGTGGACTCAAAGGAAGGGTCAGTGACAACAGTAGCCAGGAGACGCGTGACAGTAGGACTGGCAGCACGAAGAGAGTTAGACTCCGGGTCAGCAAGGACAGGAAGAGAGGACTCTGGAGGAGACGGCAACGGGACACGCAGAGGAGCAGTGGAAGGACGCAGTGCCATCTGGTGTGTGCCCGGGACCGCAGGAGGACGCGGACGCGGAGCACGACTACTAGTGCGAGCAGCACGAACAGGCGACGCAGGATGAGACGCATGCTCACGACGCTCAGCAAGACCTCCAGTAGGACCAGTGTAGGGAGAAGGAGCAGGTAGGGGGGAGGCGGGCTGTAACTGTGACCGCGACTGGACAGGCTGTGGACACTCTAAGGGAGGAGCAGGACCAGTAGAGGGCGGGAGACCAAGAACCTGCTCAAGGAGCGGAACCAAGTACGGCCGCGGCCGCGCAGCGCCTCCAGAACCAGCAGGGATAGCATCAGTACCCCAAGCGGCAGCACCAGCGCCAGCAGCACCTCCAGCTCCAACAGCGCCAACTCCAGCACCCTCAGAAGCACCAGCGCCAGCAGCACCTCCAGCGTCAACACCCCCAGCAGCTCCAGCCCCAGCAGCTCCAGCTCCAGCAGCACCAACTCCAGTAGGACCGTCAGCTCCAGCAGCCTCAGCAGTACCCCCAGGCCCAGCAGCTCCAGTACCGCCAGTACGAGCACCTCCAGGACCAGTGGCTCCAGTACCTCCAGTGCCGACCCCAGGGTCAGCAGTAACAGCAGCACCTCCAG